AGCAATTTCTGAACCATGATCATAATTTCTGTTTCTTGCCTGTATCATGGTCAGGATGAAGTAGACGCAGGCCAATCCCCCACCAAGCATTGCAGATATGACAGAAAAACCCTTGAACGCACAAGCCTGGGAATTAAACAAGATCACAGTGACATACATCTTACATCGTGAATTATAAAAACTGCTTTCAGAGCCGCCAGAGCACTTTTCGCAAGTCATGGCAAATGTTGTTTATTATGCAGTCTAGGATAAATAGCGGATATTACACTGTGGCGAGAGACAACATCTGACGCGTTCACTCCGCTCACGCATGATATATTGTTTTTGTCTAAGCGAACGTGTTATGTTCTTTTTATTACATAGAGAAAAACTACAAAAGTGAATCGAAAGCACAAACTGTATATCAACTGAAGCTCGGCAGCCGGAATATCTTGAATGTCTCTCCTTTGGTTAACATTGAAGAAACTCCTTGAATAATGTCAAGGGAAGGGGGCCAGGAGGGCGGGAACCCGGGGGAAATAGTGGCGGGAGGCGGGAGCGGAAAGGGCGGGAAGCGGGAGTTCTAAGAAGGCGGGAATCATTTATTTAGCTCTAAAATACTTTCCAAAAAGAGAAACAAAAATGTTATTTGACTTACATTTAGCATATTTTGAGAATTCTGGGCCGACAGAAAAGCCAAACTTTGCCTTTGGGCCAACAAACGGAGGCTTACTTCCTTTGAAATTGGAAACTCTTTTACGGTGGTTACGTCATAGGTCATAAAATGTGGTCGCTTAAGCTTTTAAAAGACGTGAGTAAGATAACATAAAAGAAGATAACTTTATTCATACACGGTTTTTCCATCAGTCAATTAAGTTATTAAGTCTGAGTAAGAGGGGTAAGCCTGAAAATAAAGGAAAAAAGGGAAAGGATTGCCCAGCTAAATGACAAGCTAAATGAGTCTCCTTATTTACAGGGGAAGGCAGCAATACGGACCAGGACGGGAGTCGGGAGATAAATGGACGGGAAGAGGGAGGGCAGGGTACGGGAAGCGGGAGGGTCTGACTCCCCCCTCCACGTCCACCTAACTTTTAAGCCACCTGAAGTTTCTTTTTTCCATTTTGACATTTTGGAATTTTCGTGCTCCTTAACTAACGATTTTCTGTCGGGTTCAGTGAATTTAACTTCCTCATGGCTCGCCATCTTTCAACGTTTGTATTTGGCAAAGTTTGGCAACCTACACTCCCTTTTTACAAGACAGAAAAGGATTAAGGCTTACAAGTTAAGTGTGGTGTTCAAAGTCAGATAAACAATAGAATAAGACGAAATACAAAGTTTTACCGATCAGCTCTCCAAGCCTCCAAATTTTCCAAAACTAAGCTTATCTCTACTGAAGATACAAAACGCAACCAGTAACAAAGCTAGCTAAGTACCATTTAGTTTTTTTCTTACAATGTTCACTTACAAAATTATTGCGTGAGGTACTTGGTCCTTTGCGAGTGCCAGGGATTCCCAGACAACCTGTGATGAACACCTGAAGATATAACACTGCTATGTTATA